CTACTCATTCCACTACTGGGTATATATTCTAGGAAAGTCAAAATATTAATTTGAAAGAATATATACACCCCTATGTTCAATGCAGCAATCTTTACAATGGCCAAGCTATGGAGGCAACCCAAGGGCCATCAAAGTTGAGTGGATAAAAAAGCAGTGGAACATAGATACAATATTACTTGGTCATAAAAAATAATGAGCTCTTACCATTTGTGACAGCATGAATGGACCTAGAGGATATTATGCTAAGTGAAATAAGTCATTCAAAAGCAAATGCCACATGATGTCACTTATATGTGGACTCTACAGAACAATATAAACAAACAAAACAGATTCATAGTTACAGGAAACAGACTGATAGTTGCCAGAGGGGAGGAGGCTAAAGGGATGGGGTGAAAAAGGTGAAGAGATTGAAAAGTACAGATTGATAGCTACAAAATAGTAATGGGGATAGAAAGTATAGCATAGGAAATATAGTCAATAATACTGTAATTACTATGCATGGTGCCAGTTAGGTACTGGATATATCAGGGGGAACACTTTCTAAAGCATATGATTACCTAACCACTATGCAATCCACCTTAAAACTAATGCAAAATAACATTGACAATAAACTGTAACTGAAATTTTTTAAATTAAAAGTAACTTATTCAAATCTCTTGTATCTTGGTTCATTTTAATATTTCCTCTTGTCTTCAGTGTTCTGCAATCTCAGCATGATATGTCTAAATGGGTTTATTTTTATGTATTGCACTAATTTTGCTGTATTTCATACCCATGAGAATTTATCATTTCTGGGAAATTATCGACCATTATCTATTCAAATGTTGCCTCTCCCCTATTCTCTGCATTTTCTCCTTCTGGAACTCCTACCTTCTTATTCCATGACTCACTAATGTTTATATTTATTGTTTATGTCTCTGCATACTGGGTGTTATCATCAATTATGCTATGGCTAATCTGCATTTTAACCCTTCCACAGAGATTTGTTAATTTCAAATTTGTACTTTCATTTATAGAGTTTCTATTTTTTTAAGTAGCTCTTATTCTCTCCTTAGAGTTCAATTTCTCCTTATATATTATCAACAATTTTATTTTTATATTCTGTATTTTATATTCTCTTTCATGTTGCTGCATTATCTTGAGTTCCATTATAAGGATCCAGTAAGGCTGTTGTATCTCATGCTGACTCTCCCTCGTGGATTGTATCATCTGCTCTCATTCTTGGTTGACTATTTCCTTGCATGTTTTGTCATATATTCTAGTGAACATATGTTTAACTGTGCTCTTCTATTTTTTGCCATGTTCTTGAAACTCCTTGGCAGTTGAGATGGTTGGCACTATTCTTTAAAAAAATGGTTTTCTATTTTACTCTTCCAGGAGTCGCAAGGGTATTTTCAGCTTGAAGATTTCCAGGTGAGCTCAGCAGTGTAAAAAAAAAAAAAAGCAAAAACCAAAACTCACATGACATGCAGGCTAAAGAATGAAATTTTTAGGGGAAGATTTCCTTTTACGAATGAAGTTTCTTGTTTTCACTTTGTGCTGGTGGTATATTTTTCTAGCCTAGCCTCTAATAAAAACAAGGATCCTGGATTTATGCAGGGACAGAGATGTCTCAGTCCCAATTCTCTGCCTCATCTAGAACCGAGGTCTTAGCTTCTCTCCATTTCACATGGACACTGGACTCCAAGCTCCTGGTCACTCAGGTCCATAATCCCCCAGGCAGCCAGCATCAACTCACAGGCTGTGCTCTGCCTTTTAATGTCTTTGCTTGTGACATGTGGTAATCTTCTTTACTTCTTGCAAAAGCTGTTTTAAAACTACTTAAAATATTTTATCCAGTATTTCTAAGTAATAATAACCATGATTTTTAAAAATTATCTCAGTCCACTGCATTGCCAGAGCTTTAGTTTACAAACAGCTTACTATGTCATTATGTTTAATTCTTTAGTTGAGCTTTTCCAAATAGAATGCTTAGTTGAACTGTGTTTCAGATCTTGAGAATTTAGAAACCCTTAACATTACTTTTTATGTCCAGAATTCTTCCTCATATTCAGAAGTCATGAACAAGACACAAAGTTTTAAATTCTAAATAATACCTCCTAGGATTCTGGCAGAACATGGACCATTTCTTGCTCATCACCATTACAAATTGACCAAAACAGAGGACATTAATTGGGTACCAATTAAAAGTTGGAAAAAGGAAGAATTTGAATCTTTTTCTTCTAAACACCATGTCAAAATGTTACTACTTACACTATTAAACCCTGAGAATTGCTCCCAAACAAAATAATTTGCCACCATTTTTAGAGGTAAAGCCACATCAATCTATGTAAAAATCTTTCTACGTAAGTGCATTATGAAACAGTTTTTTTTAGCAAGCGTCTTTGAATTTATCTCACAGAAAAGACAACTTACAAAAAAAAATTGTGATTTTTATAAGAGAAAAATCTCAATGATTTCACAAAATGGCATGCCCATGTCTAAAGTGCACTAGTGACTGCCCTTTCACACATAGCACGCCTCCCACTCTGAAAAATGTATGAAACTGTTTGAATAACATGTCAATAGCATATGGAAGGGTTTATCTGTACTCTCTACTAAAGGGAACTAGTTTCATTTAGCTCTTTCTCTTACATCATAGGTGTGTAGTACTGCTGTTTATTGGTTAAAAGATTTCAGTTCCTTGACTTTTTTAACTGCGAAAAATAAAAACCTTTCCAGAGTAAACAGTAAGGAAAAGTAACTATAAAATTTTAAAACTATAAAATTTTTTGGAAATAATAGATTTAGACACGGCCAAACTCTAATTCTGGAACAAGGCTCACTCTTAAATTATCATAATAGTTCTGACATGACAAGAGGGGAGTGCTCCTTGTGGTCTGAAGCACATGCAAATATTTATTTCTACTTATCTCTCTGCTGCCCAGGTCTAGCCATTAAGATTGATCTGGAATTCCTGAACTAAGGGAGAAAAATGCTCTCTACATAGAAGGTAATGTAAGAACTGGATAGTAGTAAATCAGTAAGGCAATAAAGGACATTTGAAGAAAACATTGGAGAAAGCCTTCAGGACATGATATTATTACTTTACTTAGACTCACTATCAATATATTACCACTAGTTTTTAAATCGAATTATTTTTTCCCACAGAGAGTAACAAGTGATTATAGACTAATCAGGCGATAAAATGAAAAAAAAAAGATTTTGTTTACGGGACAGTCTAATTTTTAAAAAACGGTGTAGTTATTTTAAGTTGCTTAACTTAGCAACAGATATACCTACCCTCTTAGTAGATCTCAAATCTAAGCCAATAAAAAAAATGTTCATCTATGTTTTAAGCATATACTCTCAAATCAAATTTGAAAATAGTTGTATTTACCATATCCAGGATTCATTCATTTTTCTTTCTATTTTTTTTCTTGGTATATATCTCCTTGCTACTCAGATGGTGGTCTGTGGACCATAAGCCTCCACATTTCTCAGCAATCATTAGAAATGCAGTATCTTGGCCTGCACCTCGAGCCTGCTGAATCAGAACCTACATTTCAACAAGATCTGTCGGTAATTCATAGGCCCACTAAAGTCTGAGAAGGGCTGTACTGTAAGAAATAAAAATGTTCTGTCATTTAATGTCAATACAACATTTCTTCTGGGGATAAGGACGATGCCCTGGAATTAGAGAGTGATGATGATTTCACAACTTTGTGTATATACTAAACACCACTGAGTTGTACAACTTAAAATGAATTGTATGGTATGTAAAATATGTCTTAATTTAAAAAAAAAAAAAAAAAAAAGACTCGTACACATACAGAAGAAAAAAAAAACTAGGCATTTCCTACAAGCCAATACCTAAAATAAAGTTTCACATCTTAAAACAAAAAGAGAAGTAACAGCAAATGATTTCAAATCGTACAGCACACGGACGCATGCAACCAGTTCTAACTTTTTCCCCCCTTTTATCTTGGGAAGAAGATAGATGCTCCATTTCCTAGGCTTCACCTCTTACTGGGAAAGGGGATCGCAGCAACCTTGTCTGTGGGCAGCCCTGGCCAAAGATTGGGGCTCCCTGTGCTCTCATGAGGGTCTGCCTGGGTCCAAGGGGGCGATGCCCCCTCCCTCACATACACCTCCAGAGCTGCTCACCAAACTGCTACTGAGCCCTGCTTTCCGCGGGAGGAAAACCGCATGTGGAGGGATGTGGCAAGTCAGGAAGCCGGACTGCCTGGTCCGCCTGGTCCGGTGGAGGAGCAAAGAGGCAGGAACGCTGTCTCCCAGCTGCAGCCGTGGGCCCAGGGCTGGGGGAGGGGAGACCTCGCCTTCATTTCACCTTCTGCCCGCCTCTGCCCATCTCCTCTTCACCTCCTCCTCCCCCCCCCCAAAAAAAACCCCAAATTCTTAAATAAAGTCTTTCAATTAATGCACTAGAGCCACCGCCCGCCCACCCCGCCCCCCTGCCGCCCGCTTCTACAGTTTTCTCCTCGCCGCCCGCACCCCAGCCGGCTCACCAACCCGGGCGCCTTTGGTAAAAGCTTCGGGCGGGGAAGCCCAGAAGTTCCATCCCCCAGACTTGCCCTGGCGACCCGGCGTGGGGCAGAGGATGCCCCAGGGCCAGCCCACCCCGTCCCCCGCACACCGCACCCTTGGGCGCTCCCTGCCGTCCGGGGTCCCCAGGACCTGTGTGCGCCCCCGTGTCCCACCCCTCTCCCCAGCGAGGCTGCCCGAGGGGCGCCCCTGGGAATGAGCGCCTGCCCAGGCCATGCCACAGGTGCACAGCTGACACCCGCACTGGAGAAGCAGACGAGACCCCCGATCACCCGCGGTGGCCTCGGTGGCCTGCGGGCTCAGGCTCACGGGCAGACCCTCCTCCCCGCGCTGGCTCCCCGGGAGCCATCCCGAGCCGCACGCGCCCCTCGGCTCCCTCCCGGGATCCCAGCCCAGGCTGGCGGGGCAGCTCGCACCCCCGGAGGGTGCACAGCCCCGCCCGGCCCCGCACTCACACGCTGGGGTAGACGCAGGGCGGCAGCGGGGGCTGCGCGCAGCCGTCCTCCCCGGGCTCGGCGTCCAGCAGCAGGTAGTCCTGGCTCTCGTTGCGCCGCGCGCCCGCCCGGGCTACGACCCGGGGGGATCCGGCCGGCCGGGCCCCGAACGGCGGGCTGGGGTTCATGGCGGGAAGCCGCCCCGGCGGGGCCCCGCGCCGCTCCGCTCCGGGGGGGACGCCCGGCAGTGCCCAGGGCGCGGGGTGCGCTCCGCGTCGCTCTCTCCGGACTGGCCCGGGCGCCCCGATGCCCGGGGGACGAGGTGGAGGCGGGGGGTGCGGGCGCCTGGGGGAGGTCCGAGCTCCGAAGAGCCGCTTTGCTGCTAGCAAGGGGGAGAACTCAGCCAGTGAGGGGGTCCCAAAGGGGACCCCGCGAGGAAGCGGCCGGGCGCCCCGGAGAGGGAGCGCAGGCGGGAGGCAGCGGAGCCTGGGAGCCGGGCGCAGGGGAGCGGCAGCCGGAGAGTTACTATGTCAACGAGACTGCGGCCCCGGCTCCCGCCTTCCTCCCGCGTGTCCTCCGTCAGGATCCCACCTTTAAAGGGATCCGAATGACGTTCGAGAAAGAGCAGTCAAAGCCTGTCCTGTGGCCACAACTTTCTGGGCCAGGAGGAACCTCAAGGAGGCGGGGCTACACACGCAATTTTTTTTTTTTTCATGGTCCTAAGAGTCTGCTTATTTAGAACCCACACAAATTAAGAACTTTCTAGGGAGCTTCTCTTAAGTAAGACTCCTGAAGAACCAAGGAAACCTGTATTTTTTTGTTTGTTTGTTTTGTTTTTTTAAGAAGAGATACGATGTAATAACTGCATGTACTGGTGCGAGGTGAGTTCTTGGAATATCGGAGGGCCAGTTCGTAAAGTATGATTGTCTAACACCATGCTGTGCATCTGAAACTAAGCTGTAATTGAAAAAAAAATGTTCAAAGTATTTTTAAATAAAAGAAACACACGAGCTTCTCCTTTCTCTAGACTGCTTTCATTTTCTTAAGGCGTTTTCTCTCCCATTCCCAACCCCCAACGTTCTTGCAACTCTTCACTTTAAAAATGGACAACTTCTGTGATCCCAGTGCCAGATGTCCCAGCTCCTGAGCAAACCAATAAAAATAAGCAAGCATTTTCCGATGATAACGATAGGGGCCAGCAGCCTGCCTGCTTGCTTGAAGAGGAAATCTTTCCTTCCATCGCAGCAAATGCCAGAATCGGTTCTCTGCCAGATGTTCCCCACATTTTCAAACTGTGTTTCATTTTAAGACTTCGTTTTAAATTCTGATTTAATCTTCCTAGACGTGAGAATTAAAAACTTCTCAGCAAGGATGAAAAAGGATCTGTAGTACCAGCAGTCCACAATTAGGAGCCCATTCAGTCATTCAACAAAGAGTTAATCAATGGACTCAGAGGCAAATTACCCAGGTAAGGCTCCTTCCTGTCTGCCTCCACAGAGTCTTCATGGAAAAGAGGGAGATGGATTAAACAAGCAATTGAGAAAATAGCAGAGACAAAGGATACCATGAAAATAAGAGATTTGCCGAAACCGGTTTGGCTCAGTGGATAGAACATTGTTCTGTGGACTGAAAGGTCCCAGGTTCGATTCTTATACATTGGTTGCGGGCACATCCCCCATAAGGGGTGTGCAGGAGGCAGCTGGTCAATGTTTCTGTCTCATCGGCATTTCTAGCTCTCTATCCCTCTCCCTTCCTCTCTGTGGAAAATAAAAATTAAAAAAGAAAAAAAGAGAGACTTATGTGATATAACTGGGGACTGGATAGGTATTTATTAGAGACCTGTCCAAGGAGGTGCTAGTTAAAGAACGGTTGGCAAAGAACCAGTTGTAAAGTGATCAGAAGCCCTTTGCAGATGGATTGAAGAAAGCCAGACTGCCTGAGGTCCCTAAAGGTACCTTTGCTTGGGTGGACAATACAATGGATGTTGGAAATGGGAGCATCAGCAATGGACCAGATGGAGGGGGAAAGAATTTAGAGGTGTGACCTAACCAGTGTGCTAAGAACTAAAGTTCAAAGAAGACAGAAACCATTGTATTCTGAGAACCTAGACCTATATTTGGCACAGGTATGTGGAAGGAATGAGTGGGTGGAAGGATGGATGAAGTATTTAAAAGAGAGAGAGGACATTCTTGGCCACCAAAAGAACATCCCTAAAAAATTAACGTTGATCATTCTGAAGCACGTTATTCCTGATTTAAGAATATACTTTTTTGATCTCTTAACACGTGGAGCCATAATTTAAAAAAATATTTCTCTTAGTATGTATGCATAGCAATAAGATACTCTGCTTAAAATTTGTTTGTAGCAACTTCTACCTGTCAGAACTCAACAGCTTTGATGCTTAAAATAGTTAATAAATATTTAATTTAAATAATGTCAAGATAATCATTTTGGTAAAATCAAATGTGGAAAACAATTTAGTGGGGAAAGTAACAATTCAGATGTTTTTTATCTGACTCAAATTCTATGAGTGAAAGCAGTTAGAAGGGTCCTGTAGTGTTAGTTGAAGTGTTAGTTTTTAACTTAGAAAAGAAAAATAGAGACAATTTATTTTGTTGTTGTTACAGTTAATTGAACTGTTTGTGCCCTTTCTCATAGCACTTTTTTTTTTCATTCCTAGGTAGCAACATTTACACCGAAAAGTTATTACAGCAAACTTATAGTGTGATATCAGTTTTTCATTTTGCAAGATAGGGCATGTTTTTCTCTATTATTTGAAATGTAGTTAGTACTGGACCAATAAATCCCAGGAATATTTCCCCCCAGGAGAGAGAAGGCGGTATACAAATAATTAGAAGATTCTGAAAGCTTATGATATGATGAAGTGAAAAGAACTTTAGGTCAGAAGTCTGAAAGCCTGAATTCTTGTTCTAACCAGTAAGAGGGCATTCCATCACCCTCTGTTTCACTTGTTCACCAGTAAGTGGTTATATAATTACCAGAACCCCTCAATTTTTAACTTTCTGCATCTTATGATTATGCACTTTTTTATTTTCAATTATGTTTAGAAAACATAGAGAAACAATAAGATGAGACAGCTTTTCAGCTCGTTAACCTATTTTTAAGCCATGAACAGCAGTGTTGAGTAGATCTGGAGTAATGGAGAAACTGAGGTGAATGAAGAAATGATAGTTCTCACCAAAACCGGTTTGGCTCAGTGGATAGAGCATTTGCCTGTGGACCGAAAGGTCCCAGGTTCGATTCCAGTCAAAGGCATGTACATTGGTTGTGAGCACATCCCCGGTAGGGGGTGTGCAGGAGGCAGCTGGTTGATGTTTCTAGCTCTCTGTCCCTCTCTTTTCCTCTCTGTAAAGAAAATCAATAAAATATATTTTTTTAAAAAAATTAAAAAGAAATGATAGTTCTCAAAGTAAAATATAGTGGCTGAATGAAGAAATTATAATTTTCATAGAGTAAAAAAAATGTCCTTTTTTATGTTATCTGTGTTTATGTAATATGTTTATAGTGCTGAAATATAAAAGTGCGCTGTGTTGTGACTCTGAGATGTGGGAATGAAGGTGGAGGGAATCTTTTTGGAAGGAGGAAGGGATTCCGATAAGAGAAAAACTTGTCTCATATACTCACCTGATGTTGGATTGGTTTTACTAAAACTGGTTTATTATTATTTTTTTAAATATATTTTATTGATTTTTCACAGAGAGGAAGAGAGAGGGATAGAGAGTTAGAAACATCAATGAGAGAGAATCATTGATCAGCTGCCTCTTGCACACCCCCTTCTGGGGATGCGCCCGCAACCCAGGTACATGCCCTTGACCGGAATCAAACCGAACCCGGGACCTTTCAGTCTGCAGGCCGACGCTCTATCCACTGAGCCAAACCGGTCCCGGCTAAAACTGGTTTATTATTATAACAGTATCTTGTAAAGTCCGTTGGGCAAAATGAGCAACGCGAAAGGGGTTGGCCTCCAGAAGGTCTCATGCTAGGAGCCCAGGGGGACAAAAGGTTGAGAAAACATTACTAAGATGCCTGGTGACTCAGAAAGAAGCTAAGAAGGCGGTACATGGAAGACTCACTCGGGCAGCTGCAGTTTGTGAGATGCTGCTGCTGATGGGAAACGACTGACACGGGGCTATGCTGGGAAACGCAGTTTGGGGTTTGCTGGCCGAGAGCTACAAATAGTAGTTCAGTCAGGAATTCATCTGGATTATTTAAAGCATCGAGACCCAAGCCCTGACCCTACTGCATGTAGAATCCACGGCGGGAGGAGGGAAGAGAGAGAGAGAATAAAACACCCTAGGACTCCCAGAAGGCCTGATCTCCTATGAATGAAGGCGCTAAGTAAATTCTGGTTTGAGTGAAATAATTGCCAATAGATTTTTTGAACCTCAACTTCTTAATTTTTAAACTAAAGGCATTGTAATAATTACATTTGATATCTCTATTGCGGCTGAAGGTTCATTAAATATTAGAAATATAAAATTTACTTAGAAACTATTTTAGTTTTCACTTTAATTTGAACTTAATATCGATGTCCAACATTCTCACATTGTCATATGGGTATTTTGTAAGCACTCGTGATTACCATGGCTTCCTTTAGAATAAGTTAAGTCATATTGGAATAAATTAATCTCTTGTGATAGAATTATTATATTGCTTTCAGTACACTATTGACCGCGAGCATCGTGCAATATGTTTGTCAGCAAGATTGAAAACTATGGACTGGTAACAGAGGAGTGATTCTAAAATAGTCAGAACACTGTTGAGAAAACTGCTGATTTATTGATCCGTGTCACCCAGGTTCAGTAAATGGAGACATATTCAGAATGGGTGGAGCTACTTTATACGGAGTTAGTTTCCTATCACTAGACATATTCAAAGGCAGCCTGAACCTCAATTTTCTGCATATGCCATAAAGTGAATGGACGTGTCAGTGTTAAATTAAATAAACACTGAAATCCTTTAAGAAAAAGTCAGAATTTCATCATCATGTCCATGGACCCTAAATGCATTCACAATATCTTTGATTTTTTTTTTTAACTTAGTAAACCCAGACTAACAGGCACATCTTTAACATAGCAAAGACCTATTTCAGATAAAACCAACATAGGATAACACCACAAATACTTCCATCAGTGTTAGGAATAAAATAAAGATGTTACTATCATTA